TAGTCGTCTGCCGGGTAGTTAGACTGAGAGGGCTTGGTCAGCTTAAGAGATTCCAAGCTACTGTCGGATCCTCCGCAGTCTAATCAACAGTAAATCAACCCAGGGAATTACAATTGAACCTAACTAGGGAATTAGGGGGACTCAATCCCGAGTGACTCTTTCCTGACTTTGAAAACCGAACAATTTACTGCTTTCTTGCTGCTTTTACCTTTAACAACAATCACTCGAACTAGTTTGCTAGATAATAGAGAATCACGGAGTAAGCAGTAGATCTAGACCCCGGGTTGATAATATAACTTGCCTGTTACTGCATTCCCGGACTGCGACTACACTTGGTCGCAGTTTGGTGTTGTGTTTTAGCGTGTCAGCCCCAGAACCTTGTGGTCAATCAACTTCAGTTCCTCAATCCATGACTTGAAATCTAATGTACTCTCCCCCAAACTCACTTGATTTGAGCTCTCAGAACCATCAACAATTGCATTAAAATCACCAGCCACCAGCCAAGGGGTAGATAAGTCCACCTTCCCAGCAAGCTCCCTATAAGTCTGCCTCCTCTCCACAACGCCATTTGAACCATACAAAAATGTGATATGGGCATGAGTCCCCTTCTGAAGAATACCATGAACAAAATTGCTGCCACTGTCCACCACACTGAACTTCAGATCCTTCTTCCAAAGAACCCAAATCCTCCCAACCCCTACTGCAGAGTATGTCTCCCTATGTTCCCAACCAGGAAATTTTTCACCTACTATTTTCTCTACTTTATCTGAACTGACTCTGGACTCCAAAATAGCTACTATCTCCACCTTATTTCTATTAACAACCTCCACTATACTGTCTTGCTTTGCAGGGCTATTTTACCCCCTCACGTTCCAAACTAGAACATTCATGTTTTAGTAGACGGTTTTGCCCCCTTTGGAGGCCTTCCAGGTTTACCCTTCTTCTTATTTAACCCATCCTTCCCCAATTTTGGGAAATGAGCTGGATCCTTCAGAGGAGAAACCATTACTTCACCAACCTCAAACTGAGTCAAGGATGCCAGAACACCAAAAGAAACTTGAACAGCCCCAATCGCTTCAACTGCTTGATGAAATTCCCTCTCAGATGGTAGACCACATCCTTGCCAAGCAGTAGAGCCCTCAGTTAAAGAAGCAACAATGTTGTCCACAGCCAACTGCAACCCTTCCTGATCAGGGATAGCTTCTCCAATAGCTTCAGACAGAGGAGCCACCTGAGTCACTACTTCTGACTGAGTGCCAAGAGATGCTCCCTGCTCCAAAGGTATGTTACCAACCACTTCCAACTCCTGTTGCTCCACCTCCTTAGTACGAGTCACTCCCTGGATCCCCTGCCCCTCACCCTGCACCTCTTGCTACCCTTCATGCAGATTCTCCTTCGAACAATCATGCCCAAAATTTGCAGCATTTTGCACAGATTTCCGTTTATTACAGAATTCAATATGCACATTGTAAGCAGGTCTTCTATCAGGAACTAGCCGCAGAAAATCCGGGAACTCAGAATCGACCTCAATCTCAACACAGACTCGAGGATACCCCAAACGCTGACCCAGGCGAGTTGATTTATCAAACCACAGAGGCTTACCAATCATACTAACCAGCCTAGTGAGTATACGACCCGTGCCATGTTCTAGAGGAAGGTCAAGGAATCTCACCCAGATTGGAATTGTCTGCCGCGGCTGCTCTGCTCTAATCCCTGGCTCCCACTTCCTCAGATAGCACATATCATTCTTCAGATGCCAAGGGCCACTCGAGAACACCCAATGAGCAGTTTCAGCAGTAGGAAACTGGAACAGTAATAGCCTTTCTCCTAGCCACGAAACCCTAATTGATCCCTTCTTGCCCCAAAGCCGATTCGCCCAGGACTGAACTTGCCAGATGTGAGGAGATGAAGAAAGGAACTGGCCTACTAGACAGTGCTTCCAACGCGCAATGCCCTCCTCCTCCAGTTCCGCTGGAATACGCAAGCCTCCATCCACGATTTCGGGCTCCACGTACACCAGGCGATTCTCCTCAGCAATGCCGAAAAGGTTCGCCCACGCAATGCAGTCAAAATCGCGCTTTAAAACTTAAAAACTTACGATTTTACGCTTTTGGGTCACCAAAACGCTTTCGTTTCCATATAAAAACTTAAGTGTATAAAATCGGACTAACTTGCGCTTTAAAACTTAAAAACTTACGGTTTTACGGTTCTAGTTCACCAAAACGCTTTACGTTTTTACGCTTTTAGTTCGCTACATGAGTATTCTTTTCATGAAATTAATTATAAAAAGTATATTTTAAAGTAAATCACTAACAATATGATACATTTGAGATTAAAAGATACATACTAGGTACTTAGATGCATTCTACTTCAATAGAGTAATCTAATTCACCAACTACGATTTTCCCAAATTCATTAGCATAGAGGGAAAAGTGGCTTATCGTTAAAATTTATGTTTACGAAATTATTATTAAGATGCTATAAGTTGCTCTACTTTAAACATGAATCACATGTATTTATTAACTTATCTAAATTCTGTGCATTCATATTTTGCATAGCATATGTCCTACTTAATAGATTTTTAGTTATTTTTCAGTATGCGTCAAAAACTTACGCTTTTACGCTTTGATTCTACGTTTTACGATTTTACCCCTTTTTCGCTTCTAGGTAGAATCGCGCTTTTGACTGCATTGCGCCCACGAACGACTCGGCAAAGAACTCATTCTGAACAAGCAAGACCAGAGCCGAAGAATTCTGTAACTGTAACTGTAATTGTTAGCGAACTAACCACTTGATCCCAATAACTCGAGTTGTTGGGAAAGGGATAGTTAAGCCTTTTAACCTCTTATACGCCCCCTCAAACGAAAGCCGATGCCGAATTGTGGATTTTTTACGGTTTGCACAGGTTGAACCCTTGTGCTACCAAACCACGAGGCTTTAGTTTGCACAGGTTGGACATACCATCGCTTGTGCTCGCGGGTAAAAATATTGAATATAGTCCTTCAAAAGATTACAAATCATGGCTACGTAAATTGATCATACACGGTATTAGTGAAAAACCCTAAGCACACATGATTAGTTTTAACAATCTTTGTAATGCGGGATAAGAAAAGTACAAGAAATAATTGATAATGACATTAGTAAAATTGATAATGAAGCTGGTATTATTAATAAAGAATGCATGTACGTTAATAATGGAGATATATAAACATATTGATAATGGTCTTTAAATTATTACTAACAGGTGTATATATATTATGAATGCATACCTGTGAGTTACACTGCTATCATTATCAATTGTACGGAGATATATAAAGATATTGACCATCTTCATTGAACGGGGATCCAAGGCGACGAACGGACGAAGATTACCTTGAACTCCGCCGAGTAGAGAGGATGGATCGACGACGGACTGAACGGGATAGACGAAGGACTGAAGCAAGTGCGTAGACGACATCGACGGCTGGAGACTGTTGTCGAAGAGACGGGTTAACAGAGAACCTATTCCGCTGGGAGGGGAAAAAACCGACGAGGACGTGGGTTTGAAAATTAATAGGATTTATGATTCAGTTTTTATATTATTTATAATTCCCAACATACCCTTGACAACTAATAACTCCTCACTAACTACCTAAAACCAAATCAACCAATCACATCGCTTTAAGATCCTCCTTAAGGAAGGGGGGCTTAAGGACCTGAACGCAAACCACTTTCGTACCCTGGAGATCCTCCGCATTGGAATTCCGTAGCTCTCTCTCTAGAACGAGGTAATCCCGCAATTCGCCATTAATTGTGACATCTTGCAAAATAAAATTTTATTTTTGAGCAATGCTTTATATCTCCTAAATAGGAAAATATAAATATTAGTTAAACAAAAATTTAATTTGATATATTTTTCATTTTAGTCACACTAAATGGGAAAACTGGTATTTTGTGAAAATATATGAAAATTTTAAGCCAAAATATGTTGACTAATGGTCTTGATCGTCCAATATAACAGACAGTTCTCGGGTTTGGCCAATTAAGTAAACTTTAGGGTCAGTTCAGGCCACGATATTATATATTGAAAAGATTGGTCAAGATGTTAAAATTGTTAAAAGTCTGGACCAAGCAATAATATTTACGCTTACCATTTTCTGGTGTCACACTAATCAGTCTTCTATTCTGAATATTCGGGGGTGAATGAGACCTTGGTTGTCATGATGGTCGGTTGAACTTGGTTCAACTGGTGCCAGTCATAAACTTGGCGTGCACACCACCGATGTGACTGACATGATCGATTTACGACATCTAAGCAAATGACTTCATTTTCGTAAATTTAATTAATAAAAAATTTATTTATTTATGAATTTATAAGATGTTATTTGTTTGATTCAAATATAAACGTATTGACGATAAATGTTGTATTTAAATATGAGTGTTTGTTAATTTATTTAAATATAAATTATAAATAGATTATCTTAAAATATGTTTTTAATTTTATATGATCAAATTCATTAGTGAGTTTTCACATTTTTACATATTTTGTCAAACTGACATGAATCGATACAAATCGGTTATATCACTTATCGAACCATTTCACTTGCTAAACCGGACCTTCATTGAGACACTAGACTTTGTTAGTGTGAATTGATCTGTGGCATATATGATGAAGAACCCTGTCGCCATTAATGAAAGCACCAATTGGGAAGAAAGGATTTTTGAACGTGCCTAATTGGAGGAAAGCATTCTTGATGTGATGAACGAAAAATTTAGCCTATTTTGGAACCGCAAGAAGGAAACGGGCATGCAATGCGGTATGGATCTTGCAAATGTGGTTGTGGTAGCTGTGAGAATTCAGAACTGGCAGTCCATATCGCCGCAGACTGCAAAGTCTCCTTCTGTCCGTGATTGACTTTTCCAAGTTTGGTTATTTATTTTATTCACCTCCACTTGTTTTTGCCACTGGCGGCTTTGTATTTTCAATGAACAGCTGACGATTTCTCAAGAAGAGAATAAAGAAAGAAAGGCCATTGGATGCATTGGCTAACCCCTTCTGACCATTGCACAATGCTAATATCCTTCCACTAGGAGCCAGTAATTGTACAATCGTTTCGTTGCCAAAGGGGATCCATTTATATATACATGCGATGCAATGCATCTTTCTCAAATTATTACTTCCAAAGGTGATCACTTTCTCAAACATGGCACCATTCATCTACCTTCTCCTGGCTATCCCCTGCATCCTACTACTACTACTACTTCTGCAGAAACACAAGAAAAGCTCTAGTGCTTCTCTCCCACCTGGGCCTCCTGGTCTTCCTTTGATTGGGAACTTGCTCCAGCTTGATCCTTCTGCCCCTCATCGGTATCTATGGCGACTTTCTCAAACATACGGGCCATTGATGTGGCTGAGACTTGGTTCCACCTCGGTTGTGGTAGTTTCGACTGCCAAGTGCCAAGATGGCTGAAGAGGTCATGAAAATCCAAGACCTTACATTCTGCAGCAGGCCAGTCTCTGCTGGTGCGCTAATGCTATCGTACCATGGTCGCGACTTAGCATTCGCACCCTACAATGCTTACTGGAGAGAGACAAGAAAACTGTGTGTGGTTCATCTCTTTAACATGAATAGGGCCAAAGCTTTTGTTCTATCAGGGAGTATGAAGTCTCCAAGATGATCGAGAAGATATCGAGATCATCATCGTTTGGATCGAAACCTTTCGACTTGTCTGAGGCCATGAGGACCCTAACGAGCACAATTATCTGTAGGGTGGCCTTTGACAAGAGGTACGAGGAAGAAGGAATTGAGAGAAGCAGATTTCAGTCGCTGCTAAATGAAACTCAAGCCATGTTTACAAGCTTCTTTTTCTCCGACCATTTTCCTGTTCTGGGCTTTGTCGATAAGGTCACTGGCTTGACCGGGCGCCTTGACAAGAATTTCAAGGAGTTTGATGCTTTCTACCAAGAGATAATCGACGAACATCTTGATCCAACCAGAGAAAAGACAGAGCATGAAGACATTCTGGATGTTTTACTTCAGATTTGGAAGGACCAATCCTTCAAATTCCAACTCACACTCGACCACATCAAAGCACTTCTCATGGTAATTGATTAGTCTCTACTCAATCTCCTTAGAATAACTTCTACTTTCTTCTTTGTTCAAAGAGGAAATAAGAAAGGGAACTTCGTTTTCTCTCTTCCTCCAATTTTCCCCCTCGCAGAACATATTTGTTGGTGGCTCGGACACTAGCGCGGCAACTGTGATCTGGTCCATGACATATCTGATGAAGAATCCTGTAGCCATGGGGAAAGCCCAGAAAGAAGTCAGACTTGCTATTGGAAAGAAAGATTTTGTGAATGAACAAGACATTCAGCAACTACCCTACCTCAAAGCCGTGGTTAAAGAGACAATGAGACTGCAACCCCCAGCTCCGTTGCTGGTTCCAAGGGAATCAACTCAGAAATGTAGCCTAGGCGGGTACGAAATACCAGCCAAGACTGCGGTCCACATAAACGCATGGGCCATCGGAAGGGACCCTGAAGCGTGGCGAGAGAACCCAGAAGAGTTCAAGCCAGAGAGGTTCATAGGGAGCTCCATTGACGTGAAAGGCGCGGACTTTGAGCTGATACCATTTGGAGCCGGGAGAAGAATATGTCCTGCAATTCATATGGGACTTGCAAATGTGGAGCTCTCTCTGGCTAATTTGATTTGCGCTTTCGATTGGGAGATGCCGGCTGGAGCGAGGAGCCAAGATCTGGACATGGATGTACAGCCAGGTCTTGCGATGCACAAGAGAAATGCTCTATGCCTAGTGGCTACAAAGTATGTACAAAGATGAAAGAAATCGTTAAGACATTCAGGGGAACACCTTGGAATTTAAAGCCTTGAGAGCACAGACTCACAGAGGCCTTAATTCGCCATCCTATCTTAAGTGCCTTTGTCGAGAGCTGAACCCCAGTATCTGTGAAGCATTTTATCGAACATTTGGCGCCCAATACGGAAAAAATGGAATTGAACATCAAACACGTAGGAAGCAGAGTCCATCTCGTAAGAAGATGGTCCAAAAAAAACACTGAATTACGGAATTCACTTACATCTTCGCTATGGAACATACCGTTGGCAGAGCCCTCATCGTAGTCGGACGAAGATGAACACGCCTGGCCGGAGTACACAGGCACTCGCAAAGTCAAATATATGGCGCAAAGTGATGAAGAAGAACACAAATAGGTTGCTAATGAACTGGGCCAAGCTCTGAAAATGATGTATTCTTAAATATGGGCAACTTTTTGAAACAATAATAGCCTCTAAGTAATCGTCAAGCCCATAAAAAGCTGAGAGCACATTGGGCCAAAACTCTTTGTTCAGCATTGGCTGCATCTGCATATGAGTCCAGCTTGAGAAAAATCCGGCTAAATTGCAAGTTTGGTCACTCGAATTGCTACAAAATTCACGTTTGGTCACTTAAATTGTTTTATTTCATTCGTAGTCATTTAAATTAGTTGAACGGTCCAAGTTCTGTCACTCTCCGTTAACCTCCGTCAGATTCCGTTAGTGCCGTCAGTTAACTGCTAACGTGGCTAACAAAGACGCTGAGTTGACCTATTTTAAGAAAATAAAAAAAAACTTCTGCCACATCAGATAAGCAACCCCACCTTCTAATATCAAGCAAATGATTCTCAAATATTTTTTGGGAATCTTAAACATAAATAACAATTTAGCTAACATTTTGGCGCCAAAATGTTTTTTTGGTGAGAAAGTTAGCTAAATGTTGGTGTTTCTAAGGATATTTCCCTAATAAAAATTTTGGTCGACTTCCGTTGATATTATTTTTGTCCCAAGGGTTCCTCCACACTAGGGAGGTCAATCCAACCCGTAACTATGGGTACCCTACCCGACCGTAACCGGTCAACGAGGGTAATTACCCGCTTTGACGGGTTAAGGGGCGGGTACGGGTAATACCCGGTTTCAAAATAAAGGGTAGGGTACGGGTATGGTAATCGATAATACCCGCCCCGTTATACCCGCCCCGCTAATCAAAGGGTCAATTTCCCTTGAGAAATTTAGTTTAGCTTGAGAAATTTGGTTTAGCTATCATTATTGATGATGAAGATGTAGACGATTATTATGTTTGTGTGGATTGTAGAAGTAAGAACAATTATTAAGTTTTTGTTGTTTTTATTTGTGTGGATTGTTGAAGTTAGAAAAATTAGAAGTATTGAGAATTTTTAGTGGACAACAATATGTATGTGCATATATGTGTATAAGTTCATAGTTTAGGATTCGTATCCATGGTTACCCGAATACCCGTGGTTACCCGGTGGGGAGGGTATGGTTATATAATTTTCATACCCGGTGGTTATTTGGTCGGGTATTTTAAAAGGCTTTACCCGGCGGGTTAGGAGTTGGTATAGGGTAAACCCGCACCCGACCCGACCCATTCCCATCCCTGCTCCACACGACAAAGATGGGCAATTTTGGTCGACTTCCGTTGATATTATTTTTGTCCCAAGGGTTACTCCACACGACAAAGATGGGCAGGAAAGCATCCAAAAATCTGGAAGAAAAGAGATCTAGGAAGTGACATACTGGGACAACAAACACAGCTGTTGTTAGCCTGTGATATATAATGGACTCAAGCAGTAGTCTTCCTTTCTTTCTTTCATCAAAATATTCTTCTTTTTTCTTCTGGCCCCCCGTGCCATGAACACGGAGAATACAGCAAAGCCAAGGGACCCCAAAAGTTGACAGCTTCCCTATATACATCCATGTATCTTACAACTCAACCATTTTATTTCAAACTGTTACATCACATTGAATGGCCCAATTGGGCGATAACATTATCAAAGAAGAATGGCATCTTCTGTGTGGTTATTTAAGATAAGGGATAAACAAAGCCAAAAACGATAATGGGGGCTGGTGCCTAATCAATGTCATGCAGATACATACAGAGATATGATACTAGCAGCAGCCCCTTCATTAACTTCTTCCTATAGCAAATTTATAGAGTAAGAAAAAGGGGAAATGATGATAGTAATGAATCAGTCACCTTCAAACATGGCACATACAATCTGGGGCAGGGTATGTGTATATGGACTGCTTTGCTCTTCTTAGCCTCATCTGCCCTTGTCTGCTTCCATGACCTTCAACAACTGCTTGCCTAAACTCTCCCCAGGTTATGTTCTTGTTTAGGAACAGTTGCCCCAGCAAAGTCATGCTCGGCCTTATGGTCTTCATGTTCTTATACGTGCGGTGACCCAGCTGTTTTCAGAACATCATAAAACTCGCTATTCATTTCCAGTTCAATGCTTAATCTAAGGCAGTTGATTATCAGGGTGACTCGCTTACCAGAGCATTGTGCATGTTTCCTGGGGAAGCCGAGATGAAAATGTCGCTGTGCAAGCCAACATAGTAATCAACTGCAGCTAATAGTGAAGCTTTTTTCTTAATCCGAACTCGCTCCTCCGGTGATGCGAGGCTCTTCTTGTTTTCCATGAGCGGGAATAAATCTCGTAGTGTTGAAATTCGTGCTTCCCCACCATAAACCTGAAGAGGCAAAGGTCATTCCTTTCAGTGATGATAACACATGCACATGTCTAAAGGTGCCAACTTTCTACATCTACAACAGCAGACCTTGTGGGAAGCGAGATAAAGGCGGGTAGTGTTGTCGAAACCCAAAGCTGCAAGAACTAATCCAATCTCTTCTGGAGTCAATGGACATCGCCCTTGATTCCGCAACTCTTCATCAGTGAACTGTGAGTTCAGGACCCTCCCCTGCCAAATTGCCTGTCTGTACTTGGCTAGAGCCAACTTTTCAGCTTTCCCTCCACCAAAGTCACATGCTGAATGGGCAGCCATATCCTGCAAATTTATAACTACGGTTAGTCAAAGACTGAAGACTTCTCAACAACATACAAACCACACAAGTACAACCTAACCTTGTCAAAACGAAGGTGCAAAACAACAAACTTGCTTGGCTTTTGTTTGACAATAACATCCGAGGTCTGTCGCAGATATTCTGGAGGCAGTTGGTCATTGGCTTGAGTAGAAGGATATCTGAGGCGACTGACGAGAGAATCTCCGAGTGCTCTAATGTGGGGAACAAACTCTAATGCCTCAAAGTTCACCTTACAACGGAGTTGTTGAATATCGGAAGGCAAGTTATCGAAAGTCAGCCGATGTGAGAATGGCGCAATTGCAGCAATCCCATAACTGGAGGATCAGACACAATGAACTATGCAAGTTTTAGAGGGGTTACCAATGGACATTAAACCTAACTGGAGGATAGAACAAGGGCTAAAATCTCTAAAATTGAAGAATAATACAAAAAGAGTTGAGCAAAAGAATAGTTAACAGCAAATGTAACCTTTGAAGCACCGGTAATACATTGTCAAGATACCAATTGGCCGAAGCATGGACAGGTGCAGCCTTAATTCTGGTGGCTCGAATGGCTGCAGCGTAATACTCCCGAGTGCTCCAGAAGTAATCATCAGGCAATTCTTTAACTATAGAAATGTCATCTTTCAAGACATTAATAAAGTGATCCACATCAAATATATCCATGAATGAGCTGCATTGCAGAGAAAGTTTGCAGCTTTTTCAGCAATAGTGCCCTTTTCTTGATATCTAATGAAATGGGACTGGGGGAAACTGAAACAATCTGAAGCTGCAATCGCAAGCAACAGTACCTTGAATCTTGCCAAACCGGGTTCACCTCAAAATGTGGGATGACTAGTGTTGCATTCAGTATCTTAGCTACTGCTACAGCATCACATATCTGTGATTAAAACATTGTTATTATCGATTATTACAGAAAATGGACTGTTCAAAACTGCCAAACTACGTACCCCCATTCTCTGCTGGTTCAAGCCCCCATCAAGAAACACCTGAAGATAACCCTCTGAATCCTCTGGTATTGCTGCAGAAGGAAACCAAGAGAATGATATCAGTATGATATGAGATTCCAGAAATCCAGTCATATTTTATATAAACAAGGACATGTTTCTCGTCACTCACAAGAGGGGTTTGATGATCTAATGCACGGTTTCCATCCCTGATCGGACAAAGGAGTCCACATGTCTGAATGCTCTCCATTCGACTAAGAACACCAGAACGCATCCAACAGAATACTGTTAATTCCAACTAATGGAGAACCAAGAACTTACATTTACTCAGTAATACTTACAGTTTCACGCTCTAGAGCACTCTTCAGTAGAGTCAAGTGCCTAGGTTTTGGAACATACAACTCCTGCCAGAAAACAAACCAGCCTGATAAGGATGTACTTCCACAAAATGAGAGGCAAACTTGGAGAATAAGAAGTGCATTCATCCACCAAGCAAAGTTCACAAAAGGCTATATACTCAATATACAGCCTTTGGTTGATGATCGCCCCTAAACTCTTCCTTTTTTCCACCTTGAAGCTCAAACTTGCAAGCCCATTTTGAGAACATCCTTTTTTCCATCTTTTTGGTCCCAAAATTGCTTCAATAGAATTAGGAGAAGAATCCCACAAGAAAAAGTATCATAACCCAGGTTCCCAGCCACAAAAGAGGAAACTCCACAAAGTTTTCATTCCCTTAATGGTCGGTCAAAAGACCCCAATTCATGTACATCCAGAAAGAGTATACCCGGTTGAAGATTCTCAATTCCCTTAACCAGGAAAGAGGTATTGAGTATTGACCAATCAAGAATGAATAGTTGGATGTAAGAGGACGTTAATCTGCCCTTCTCACCTACTCCTTAATTACCACATAGAGTATGTAAACCTTCCAATACTTAATACTCGGCAATATCCCCAGTTGCACAAAATTAGAAGCTTCCAAGTTCCAACTCAGAAGATTAAGTGGCATAAGAAAAAATCACAGGAAGGGAGAAACGAAAGAAACAACATAGCTCAGAAACGCAATCAACTAAACATACCGAGTAGACAGCGGAAGGGAGAAGAAGAATGGGCAACAGCAGTAGCAAGAGCCCAGGTAGAGCTCTTCCTCCAATTCCCATGGAGGAAACCGTTTCGTATCGGAGCTCAAAACCAGACCCACTAACCAACCTCGGATCCCCAAAACCCCACCTGGGTTCCCGGTTCTGGGTTCGACTTTGCCTTTTTTTGTCGTTGGAGGAGAAAATCAGAGGGAGAACAAAAGGGAGGGAAAGAAAACTTGCAAAACCCACAGGAGCAAGGAACAGGTGAAGAAAAGCTAATGGTAGTAGCAATGGTGGATAAGTGCAGAATAAGAAGAAGCACTATAGTTCCATTATCACGTGTAAACAAAAACAAACGAGCTGATGAAGGAATAAGTTGAATGGCGATGATGATGATGACCGACGGTTCTCTGCTTTAAAGAAAAAAGAAAAGGCAAAATTAGAAGATAGAGACTAACAACTAGAGAGGCAACAGTGGTGGTAAGACGAGAGACAGGCCATTTTCACATGGACACCTGTACATATGAGTAAATGCCCTTTTCCCCCTTTTCTCCATCCGAGCTTGTGATCATGAATGCACTGACCAGTGTCCCAACCTCCCTGTCATTTTGTTCCACACATGAAAAGCATAAATGAAAAGAAAGAAAAAAAGAAAGAAAGAATATAAAAACCCGCTGATTCTTAGTTAAAGATAATCGCTCTCTGCTTAAATCTTAATGAGTAGCAACAAACTACGGGCCAGAACAGTTTACAACTTACAAGACAAAGTGAGAAGTACCCATGGAGGATAATGATGAATGATCATATTCGTCGATCGTTTTCCGAGGAGGAGAGTAAATTTCAGTTTCCACTTTTTCGTCCTGCAGCTGCTGCTTGGTTCACTTGGCTTGCTCTTTCCCTTTCTTTCTCGAGATTTGGGGTATTGGAGACCGTTGGAGCGGGTGAAAAAGGTGACGACTAGTTTTACGATGATGGGTTTGTACTGTAGTTTGGGGACGTTTGGCGTTTGGTTAATGAATGAGATCACGCACGGTGTCGTTTACAGGCAGGCTTGTACTGTTCTGTGGCCTGCTGGGCTTTGCTTTCTACTTTCTGCCGTTCGGTCCGGCTGCCTGGCTTTTTCGCCCAACTTTTTATTGGGGCTGCTGCAACGGTGAGCACCGACAGTACGGTGCGTAAGGCTCTAAGCTTGGTCCTGGATACCCACCGATCTGATCCGGCTCGATCCGATTTTGACGATCGAGCGGGATTAATTTCTTTACAAGGTCAATTTAGGGTTGGGACATGTTTTATCTTATAAGACCATCTTCATCCCAAATTTTTAGCATGGTTCAAAAAGGCACGCTTAACTTTATGCTTAGACACGCTTAGGCGCAAGACAACGACAAAACGCCTCGCCTAGGGGTTTCGCGCCTAATTAGATACTAAAACACGTCAATGGAGTAAGGCGACATGAAAGTCTATGCTAAACATTACTAGATTGAGCTAGGAAGTCAATATTAAAGGAGAAAATTAAGATCAACTACAAAATCAATTTTCTATATCAATATTTGCAATAGTTTAAGAACTTTGTGAGCTATTGAGCTATAATTCTACGAATTCGTGAGCTATGTTCTTGACATTAAGTGTTGAGTAAGTTATTAGTCATTTTAACTGAAGTGAGAAAGTGTTGTAGATTATTATTTCATTCATCATGCAGTGCGAATAATTATTTTTCTTTCAACGCCTAGGCACGTTTAGTCTACGCCTAAGCGAGCTAGGCGCTGGGCAAAAGCTCAACGCTCGCTTTACGCCTAGCGCTTTTTTGAACCTTGATCTTTAGTAATTGTTAAAGTGAGGTGGAGCTTATGTGACATTTTTTCTAGCAATAGCTAGGGATGTGAGAGTGCTTTCTAATTTAGCAGTTTTCTAGCAATGCCACATAGGTAATTGTTGTATTTTTTTATTTTTCTTACTTATTAACTTTTCAATTTCAATGTGTTGAGGTAGATTAAAATAATAGATGAGACCCACATTAGAAATTGCTAACATAATTTAGGGATATAGATGACTAAAAATTATTAAGTGATAAATTGCTAAAATTGATGATGTGGTTGTAGAGACCACATTTAGAAATTACTAACCAATTTTAGGGATGAAGATGGTCTAAGGGTTGAGTAGGATCGGTCAGTCGGGTTACTTTTTGGCCATAAATATGACTCATATCCACTACTAGTGACCTTATAAGGGCCGGGTAGGGTCGGTCGGCCGAGTCCCTTTTTGGCCATATGATTCATATCCACTACTAGAGATATGAAATTACTCGTACCATGTTGGACATGTTTGTGGAGTTTTAAAAGTTTAGGTGCTGTAATGCAATGTAAAAAATATAGAGGTACTAAAGCATAATTTTACCATCAAAATTTCTGGACCTATTTATAAGAAAATAATAAAGTTAAGTACTAAATTATAAGAAAAACATAAATTTGGGTACCAAAATATAGATTTTAAAAAATATGTGTGTTTAATTAATTGAACAGACTAATTGACTCGACCTGACCCGACCTCACCCTATAAGGCAAAACAAGATCAATAAGAAAACAAGTGCACGACGAGCCAATATTATCATTTGACCCTTTAAGGATGAGTCAGACAGGATTCATACAGTCCTAAATATGAACATTATGTCACTTCCACCTCAATCTCAACCATTCATTATAGTATTGTAACCTAACTCAAGTCCAAAGTAAAGGGTGTTTCAAAGTTTCAAGCTCTTCTCCTTTACTACCTTCTAGTTACCGTCCTTATAATATTGGCATTGATTACCTGCCTTTTTTTAGTCTAAGATTACAAGAAGTTAATACAATTAATTATATTATTTTTTTGTGTTATTAGTACAAAAATTTGGAAGAAAATTTAGGCGGTACATATTCCTCCAAATTTGAAATTCTTCTTTTGACAATGTATCAAAGTTGATCCTAGTTGCGTTGAAGTCGTGAGGATGTGTTAAAGTTTGATGTGCTAGAGATATTGAGAGTATTGAACATTTGTTCTTTAGATTCTTCTAAACATATTATTATAATTTTTTGACGGTTTAAGTGATATCTAAACTTCGCTCTGACTATTAATTTTAGTTTATGGTGGCGAAATCATATACTCTCTCAGTACTACCAATACCAAAATTTTCCAATTTGTATGCTCATTACGGAGAATTTGGAAATCTCAAAATAAAGTGGTTTTTTTTAGTTCACTCAACCACATGCCCTTCCTTTAGCTCGTCTATTTTCTTTTCAAGTCCTTGAAGTTGTCTTTATTCCCCCCGTCATTTCGGCTCCCCACCCCCTCTGCCTACTTCTCTGTCTCGTTAGATCGCTCCTTCTAAAGTCTTCATCAAGGTCAACTTAAATGATGTTGTCTATGAGTTTGGATGCTCTGGTGGCCTGGTGGTTTATGGGTCAGACGTGTATGTGGCTATGTGCTGCTAACAGTTGGACGCCACCATCATGGGTGACTAATCCTTACGTTGCGGAGCTCTTTGTTGCTAGAGATGGCTTCCTCACGTGTGATCTCTCCTTCCTTCCCTATGTTATCATGGAAGGAGATGTTGAGATGGTGACTCGTCAACTGTAGCTTGGTGTGGTGAGGCATTGGCTAGAGGTCCCCTGCTTCGTGAATGTAAACCAGTTGGCTTCTTTAGTTTTTTTTTGTATAGTTTATAAGGCAGTTCTGATATCCGCAAATTGGGATGTCCATAGAGTGGCGCATAAAGTCTTGTTGTTGTCTCTTACAGAGTTAGCTTCCTTTGATTTTGTAGACTGACTCCTCTAGTAGGTTGTTTTGGGGAAGGTTCCCGAGATAGGGTGTGTTATTTCTAACTTTTCTCTTATTTTATAAAGGAGAAAAGAAACATAATTTGCAAACTATAAAATAAAAGTGTACAAACAAATAATAGATAGTATATAAACCAGAGTACAAAAGTGTACAAATCATATTATAAAACACATGCAAACTAATAACACAAAATTACAAATTGAATTATAAAATTATATTAACCAATAATATAAAATATACAAACTAATACTACAAACTATACATACCACATAATAAAACTATATAAATTAATATTATAAAGTCTTCAAAACAAATGATAAAAGAATAAACCAATTATTTAAAGTATTTAAACCATATCATAAAGTTACATATCAATACTATATAGTATATAAATCATATGGTAAAAATATACAAGATAATATTAATGTTATCCAGATTGAAGACCAACGGTTTAACTGCTAGACCATCCCCTTGTTCGCTCATCTTAGCAAACATTTAATCATTCGCATAATGTTACCTTCAGTAGCCTGATTTACAATCACTGTGGTATTTAGGTCTAGACCTTTGTCGAAGATGTCAGCAAGCTATCCTCTACCAAACCATGTAGAAGACATGCTCTAAGAAGTTATTTGAATTGCTCTCATGCATTGTACAATTATTCAGAAGCACATTGTCGAAAGTGAGCAATCTGGGTTTTCAAGTTGTTGGTTCTCCATGTATGAAAAGTACCGAGGCATTGGCGATTTAGACATCGTTCTGCTTTCCCCAGATGAAGAAAAGAAAGAGGCATAGCGTGATTGAACTTGGATCAACACTTGGGTGTTATGCATAGTCACATATCTCCAGGAATACTTTCACGATTCACATGCTCCAAGTGTTTGACTTAAAATCGGGTGCAGTAATTAGTGGCAGGATGTTGCTAGAAGCAATATTCTCCGATTGTGGTTTGGTACATTCGTAAAGATATTGTTCATCCATGATTCCAAGTGTTTTTGGTTCAGTTGCGAGATTATTGTTTTTTGATTTTGAACACTCATTGAAGAGAGGATTTAGGCAAAGAGTTGTGAGTTGATTTCCCTTAGAAACTCTATTCCTAGTCGGTGGTGACCTAGCTTCTGAGGAATCAAATGTACCACTATGATAGACACGACCTGAGAAAGCCTCTTGAGGTTAAGTTTGTTTTCTTTTGCACCTGGTACATGTTGGGCTCAGAGACAGAAGTTGGGAATAGAAACTGTCAAGCGACGAATCCATGCCCAAAATGGCGCATGGGCTGCCAATTTGCAGTCTCATGTGTTTGGTCATGGACAATAACTATAGACTAATAGACGAAATAATATGCAATCACACACTAAAAACACTTAAAAACTAAAACTAAAACATAAAGAAAAAGGAACGTGTACCTTAATCCTTTTGAAGAACACACGAGTCCTAAAAAACGTTACCAAAATTTGATGTGTTGTAGAATAGAGCTCAAATTTACCTGGTTGGTAACCAAGATCGTATTTCCTTAGGGTCTCACACGCCTCCTCAATCAGTATAAGACATGCTCTTTGGGTTTGTAAAATGAATGTGGAGGTTCAGGTGCATCCGGGATTGAAGTTCCCCTTGTTTGGTTTGAAGTTATAAAGTAAAATAAAAAACCTAAACTACCAGATGAGGAAAATCAGAAGGAAAGGTGTTGCATAGGCAAGCTTCCCCTAGAATTTCATTAGACTCGTTCAATTGATACTAGTAGCATATGAGTTGTCTGATTCTTGTATATTTAATCCTACCATGTGTCTGATGTTTATCAAATCAAATAGGCTACAATGTGGACCCTACAAATTTCTATCTTGAGGTGTCGTTAAGTTCAATTGATTGATGATCGATTGTGAAGGATGATCATTTCTAGTCTCATCTAGCATATAGTCGGGTTTGAATTCTATATAAGATGAGATGATAGCTTCGTCTTATGCACACAATTGCATTGACTAGATAGAGATAAAAAAAGTACTCAAAATAGTCATATAAGCTAAGAATCATTTGTTACATAGTATAAAGGACCTCTAGGGTTCTCAAACCTACACAACTGACGAAATTGCAACTCATGAGGACATGCGATACAGAGAACATTAGTCAAAGATGAGA